AGCGTTACATCACTTCACATTGCCATATTAACTCACCGCTAATACCTTACATCTACGCTTAGATTGATACGACATGGTCTAGTCCACATATTGGCACAAAAAGTTACGCGACCACAGCGACTTTGCAATGCTAGAAAATAAATAAAAATTTATTAATTCACAAGAAAAAACATATTTTTCAAATCGATGTTACTATGAGTATAACTCATCTAGATGATTTCATAGTACATTTCATTTCATCGTTTAATTGCCCTCTCCCATGCAAAACAAGTTTCTACATTTTTAATTACAAATTGCTTTAGCTCTGAGTAATTGATAAAGTCGATTGGAATTACGTTGGCCGTTAGCCTTCGAAATTGCAAACTTGCTATTGTTAACACAAAAACAGGTTCTAGGCTTCTTATTTATGCACCCACCTAATTTCGTAATATAGTAAGTAGAATTTTGATACGAAACAGCCTCTAGACAAAAGGCAGGTTTCCTGTGCTATGCATCAAGCCCGTTGTTTCACTTTGAAATCTATTTCGAAGACAGTTAAAATTTTGATAAGAAAAAATTATTACCATGCACGATCCCGGCGCGCACGTTCTCTCTATAAGTTTGGAAATAAATACATAATGTAAATGTAACTAGTAAATACAAACATACTCATGATAATCGCAAAGATTTATCTATTGTCGAAGGCTGAGGCCAAAGTAACGTTAAGTATCTGTCATGACTCGCTTTTTTGCGTAACATAAACTTTCAAGCAAAGCTATGTTCAACTTCATGTGTCCCAAACTAAACTTCATCAATTAGACAAAGTCAGGAAAATTCTCGAAAACTGCCTAGCCGTTGTCCGCCAAAGTTCACAAGCGCTGTACTGACAGTACTAACAATCGGAGTTTAATATAATTTGGCCCTCACTGATGGTATTGATGGGAACTGTCCGGGACACGACCGGGCAGCCGGACGTTGACCTCCTCCGTGCAGTCTCGTTGACAAACAACGGCGATCTCCTTGCCTCAAAACGTATTGTGAACATGAAAATGTACCTTCGACTTCAGCTCTTTATTTTGCAGTGATTTTCTCAAAACACATCCTTATGCAGCAGTCTTCTAGTGTCAAAACATCATTAATTAGACTCAGTTGTACCCGTGACAACATTCTCGATGGTATTTTTTTCAGCAGCTTCAGGAAAGAAATTGAAACGGAAGAACATTTACTTTTTTAATTTTCCGTTTAATAGTATGAATGCAAGATAAAAAATATTTACGAGTTTCATCAGAACATAAAACTGAAGTTCCATAAAATAACCTTCCATGACACTAGCTATCTACGCAGCGACGAAACGTTAATATGAAAGTAACAAAATTGTATTATTGTAACTTCTTGCTACAAGGTTAAGATCACTAGTACATGCTAAAGCGTAACGAATTGGTTCAGTTTCATTAGCATTAAAATAAGTTATTTGTGAAAAACCTCATGTGACAGTGAGATCCGTGAAAAATTGTAGAATATCTCACATTTCGTTTGAGTATTCGACTATAACGCGCTCAAAAAGATAATATAGGTACGAGTAGCTACAACACAAAACATTATTGGTAGGTACACAATGCTTTGTGTATTTTTCTATCTATTGGAAGGCTTGAAGACTTGCACACGAGACATGAAATAACTTCAAGATCTCAGTTTTAGTCGAAAACCTGAAATCTTTTCGAAAGCTTCGGTCGACTCACTCAAAAGCTATCTGAAAACCAATCACGTTCCACGATCGGGCCAATGTAGTCAATCGTCAGCCCTAAGACGACTATAACCACGGAGCATTTCCTCCGAGGGTACAATGTGATTTAAACCGCGCAGTAAAACGAAGCCGCTGGTACTAAAACTCAGTACATTTCAAGCGAACTAAAATAAGAATGCATTGTGTAGGTAAGATATTCGCGTATGCAAATGGTTTGTGTGGGCACGAGTAAAATTATAAGAAAAAAATACTTTATGTACGTTAACAATTACATAATATTAAGTTAATTTGATTTGTTTACATACTTAATGCGAACATCGAACTAACAACCTTCATTTAAACTTCAAAGTTAAATTGCACAATACGACAATTCTGTGAATTCTGTAAATAAGTAGTTGGTTTCATCATTCAGATACAATTTTATTGAAGTTATTTTTAAAAAGCTAGTTAGTTGTTGTAATTTACATTAAAAACCTCAACTTTCCGGTGACCCTGACATTCATAGTACTGTCATTCATAGGTACGAGTAGCTTATTATATTTATTATGTTATTATGGAGGTACCTATATGCTGAAATTGTTATGTATTTTGATACGAAATCAAAGAATCGAGACCGCAATGTTGAGTAATTTCGAAAATAGATAAATGTAGTGGTCCGACCTCAATATAATAATGGAGTAGTCGGCAAACAAACCGTTACAACAACATATAAATCTCGGCAACAAATCGCTGCTCTTTGTAACGTGGACAGTTCGTTGTCGCTCGCCCGAGATGTGGGAACCTTGGCTTAGAGTTACAATTTATGATGAAAAATTGCTACGATGTATGAGACAAATATTAATTTATGGAAAATCTAGTTGTATTCGCAATGCTGCAACAAGGCTTTCTTTGAGACCACAGGTTATGAGTATCAGAAGATTCAATCAGTTTTGGACACTTTTTGACTATGAATGACCACCAATACCTACAATAATTTTCCTACTCGTATTAAAACTTAACTAGGTAATAACGTTGTTACACTTTGTTAGATTTCTATGATTGTACACCAATCACGATAAGCAGCGTATCTAATCTAGAAAATGACAGAATATTTGTCATAAAGAAGGTTCCCCGGGCAAACTAAGTACGAGAACTTTTCTTCCTCGTCTTTACACCAAACGACTCTGCGGTGAAGGAACGTGTTCCATAAAAATAACGTACACCCCATTTGTTTTTATGGTTACCGTGAGGGCTGGGTCCCAAATTTTTGATATACCTATCATAACTAAATGGCTTGCAATCACATAATTTTGGCACTTCTTTTATGGGTTAGAAGATAAGCTATTTGAGAGGAAATTGAATCAATATATTCAACCAGGACTACGCACATGCGAACCAAGTTAATAACAGGAAAAACGATCACTTATGTTATTGTATAACTAAGCAAATAACTTATAATGACCGGTGCAAGATATTTAATAAATTTCAATACCTATACAATAACTCAAGCATCACTCTATCTACTCATACACTTGACAGCAAATAAATCGAACCACCCGCGACGCGAACTTTAAAGATTTTCTTTTGACACAATAATGGTGCCCCAACAATATTGGTGTTATTTGAAAGCCCAATTAATATCCTTAAAGAAAAACACATTTAATTTCTTAATAAATGATTAACATATACCATAAATGTGACTTAAAAAAAGACCTCACTTTGGGCTCACCTCTGGGATCAATTAGACCAAATTTTATGGTTATAAAACCAAATAATGATCACACGTGTCCTCTTTAACAGATGGATAGCGATTAATCCCAACTTAACAGTTTTATAGCCATAAAAGTTGGCTCTAGCGTAACTACCTATTTTTTGAAGAAGTGACTCTAGATCCTTCTAAAGAAACATTTTTGGGGTAAAAACCTTTCCTATAATGAAATGAAGTTTAGAACTAGGCTTTTGAATGGTACCAATATTGGTGTGAAGTGGGGATGCATACGTTTGAAAGTGCTTGTCGCGGGTGGTGCGATTTATTTGCTGTCGAGTGTATAAATCATGTGACATAGGACACAGCCTTCCTGTTGGCCTAGGATGCGCGCCGCGATAAGCGATTATCACGCCATTTTATCGATTTTGCCCATACATTTTGACGTCGATAAAGTATATCGCGGCGCATCCTAGCCCTTCTGGAAAGGATAACAGGCAGGACAATTTTAATTGTGAAATCATGTAGCGAAGCGACTACGTACAAAAACTCAGAGCGAAGCGTTTTCTGAATTGAAACTGTCTCGTAGGATTGCCGCGTTTTCTAAAAAGCTGGCATGTGTTAGAGATACTGATACAGCCAATTTATTCAAATCGTTTTATAGATGAGCTATCAATTTCAGCCACTCTATCTCTGCACAAATCGCTCTATGTAAAAGCTCTCGCGGTCCAGGAAACAAAGCCCTGCGCAGACGCAGCGGGTCGCGCCCTCGCGCCGCGGGCCGATGCGCGCGCACGATCCCATCCACACGATCGGCCTGATAGCTTCCTAACATTACGCCTACCCCATTACTATTTGCAAAGATTTTATATGGTAATTCTAGGAATTGTGTTCTTTCGATTGGAGCTAAAATTATTAGAATGAGATTGTTGACCGCGGAGATAGGAGCTAGAGAAATATACTACGAGTATAAATTCAGTACGAGTATTTGATTAAACTAAGGCTAGTTGAGACTATGATAACATTGAGGCTATGTGCCTACATAGCCCAAAAATAGGATTAAATATATTCTTAGAACATGGAAATGGCAAACTGGAAATTGTATACAAACGGTTACTTCTTCTGCATAAAGAGCATCTATGCTGCGTTGCTAGCTGATGGACTGTCCACATAAGGGAAGGGTGATTGCAAGGCGTTGTAGGAAGTCCTTGTGCTATGCATTAATTGCTTCCTTATATGGAGCGTGTGCAAATCGCATCTAAATAACAAATTGCTGAAATTTACATCGACGTGTCATTAATATTTGAGTGGTAAAATATGCCGTTGTTGGCGTGATAATCTAGGTAATTATAATGTGTTACTTATATACTGCCTTACTACAAAAAATAAATCTTTCTTCAAATTATTGTGCAGTGGTCGTGGGATTGAACTCCATTAGGGACACATGTTTTTGGTGTATCTGAGTTATCCGATGCGTTAAATTAGTTGTTAGGGCTAGTAGCTGGTAGGAATAATTAATTAAAAACTACAGTAATTATCTCCCATTTATAATTGTTCTTCTCATATTAATTATGTATATTGCCTTTTTTACAGGATGCAGACGAAAACAGCGAATTCTCGCCGGTCGTGAACGCGACGTGCAAGACCGGCATCATGTCTATCAGGATTACATTCAACCAGCCTTTCAATGGTGTCGTCCATTCCAAAGAATTTAGGTAGGTTTAAAATCTTTCGGCTCCCCTCTATCTGGCAGAATCTCGTTACGCAGAAACTCATTTGGCATAACTCACTTGGCATAATCTTCTTTAACCGAATATTTATAAGGCATAAACATTGTTAAAAAATATTACTTTGGGGCTAGCTGGCGCTGTGTGAAATTGTCCAAAGATTTATTTATTTATTTTATTTATTTTATAATCATCGTTTGGTAGAATGTTTATATACCCGAATTTTCAATGGCATACTTTTAAGATAGCAGAATTTTATTTGGCATAATTTCGATTAACATAATGTTTCTTTAGCACCATGATTATTTGGCATCATTATTTAATGATATTCCAATGGTGGAATACGGCTAACATTTAGAGTGCCTACCCAACTTTTGGGTTTGCGTGTTTTTTTTAGTGAATAGAGTCCAGCCTAAGACGTCCTTTTCTCAGTGGAAGATCGGCATGATCTAGTCTTCAAATGTACCAACGAAGGTCATTTTAAAAAACTTGTTGGACAACAAAGCTATAGGTTAGGTTAGGTTAGACTTGCGACCTTACTCAGCGTGAAGGCGAGTGAGCGAGCGAGTGAGCGAGCGACCGCAGCGAGCGAAGCGAACGTGCCGCGGCAGCGGCCGCCGAGCGCCAAGTCTAGAATAGCATACTTAAATAGTTGATTTCCAATAAAAACTACCAAAAAATGCAACTTAACCTCAAAATTTCCTTTTCAGTTTTTTCAGAAATTAAGTTTCTGATCTCCCCCATTCACAGGGGGAGAAGGAGAGCCTTCCACCTCATCCCTACATCCCTTAATAATGCGATAGGGGAATAAACATTTTACCTTTAATAGTATGCCAAAAGACTATTATGACTAAGAACTTTCTGCGATGTGATGGTTCTGCTTTTTAATTATTCGGGATACTAAAATTATGCCTGAAGATGATTCTGCCTTACAAAATTATTAATTTTGAATGTATACCAAATTAGTGTATGCCTAACGAATTTCTTCGTAAAGAAGATTATGCCATCCGTTGTTATGCATAGTAAAATTATGATTGAAAAAGTTCTGCGAAAAAAGGTAGAACCAAATCTTTCATTTTGTTTTTTGGCCAGACAGAGACTAGAAAGTATAAAGCTGAATGTTCATTCAATAAATTATCAAGATCCCTATCTCATTGGGCTTATTATACAGTGATTATTATAATTTATGATAATATAAAATAAAAAACAATATTGTTTTCCAGATCACCGGCATGTAAAATGCAAGGCAACGGAACGAATACTGTAACGCTTGATATCAACATGATGGCTCCGAAAGGCTCACCGGACTACTGCGGAGTTTTATGGAATAATGTTCGTATTTTTGTCAATCTTTACGTAAAATAGTATATTACAGTAATTTTGTCCATTGCTTTACTAATTATAATTCTTAATATTGTTTCAGCGAACTGAAGAAAGATCATTGCCTCTAGCTGTGCGTGTGCATAGGACATTAGAGTTAGCTGATGATAAAATGTTCTTCATCACTTGTGGAAAAGCTGGTTTCAGGAATTCAAGGTAAGAATATGAATAATCATAAAAAATTAAATGAATTGAAATACGAGTAGTAAGTGTGGATTATAACCCCTGTAACGTTATAAACTTATATTATTTACAGAAACGAGACTTCCCTTGTATCGCTTCGTATGCTCAATCAAGATGGGCGCAAAGTGACGAACGTAGCCTTTACCTTACCGTACACACTTCGAGCTGAATTGAGTAAATCTGACGGTAAGTTTCAAGCTGTTTGCATACTACACTTTAAATTCTGTTTGGTCTATTAAGCTAGTAATGCCGTTGCTAGAACATAAACTTTGTTAAAACGCAATGAATGCCAGCCGTGCCGTGTTAGTAATAGGCCCAAATTTCAATAATATTGAGCCCATTGTGAGATATAGGTAATTGGCTTGTTTGTGAGATTCTGAATAGAACCACGGTTTTCCTTTGAATTCATGACGTGCTTTTGATTAAAGGAGTCCTTCATAATTACAGGAACGCACGGGATCAGAATGAAGAATTGCTTCGCATTCAACATGCGTAATAATACAGTGGATCTCCTAGACAGCAGGGGGTAAGAAAGTTATTTATGACTGTCTTGAGATGGCCCATGATAACCTAGCACTAAAACTGCGAAACGTATACAGAACTTAACGACTCTTTTGTGACGTCATTATTTTCTTATACATGACGATGAATATTTTTTGAATAAAACCCAGGAGTTAGCTAATACTTCGGTAGCTTAAAAACGCGAAGTACGATCTTCAATTTGATATTTTTTGTGCATAGAAATGTAGAGTAAATGTAATGATTGATGAATGACGTACTTGAGCGGCTGCCTCTAATAGGAATTGCAGTAGTGGAAAACTGAAAACTGTGAATAGTCTAGTAAGGTATAAACCGACTCACCTTACCTTACCTTAATTAACCGCAAGTTATTTTAGTCGCGTGTGATGTTAATTTAGTTTTATCTCCGCAGATGTCCACTGAAGCAGGAATCGGTGGTGGTGAAGTCCCAAAACGGCGCGACGGAGCTGGCGATAGCGTCCATGTTCCGTTTCCCGGACTCCTCGCAAGTCAACTTTCAGTGCGATATTGCTATTTGCAAAGGTACGCAGCAAATCATTACCATTTATACCTTCTACTAAACTCATATCTGGCCCACTTAAATCACAAAAATAAGGTTTATTTTGTTTTTTTAACCCAAAACTTTATTTAATTTTACGCGCCGGGCGCGCAGCTTGCGTTACGGTGAATTTGGAAACTCTAACGTTTTCTTTAGTTGGTCACAGTGAAAATTCAAGGTCTCATGAGTTTTTTGTTGTCATTGTACTCGTAGTATGCAAATTGTCGCTAATTAGATAGTAACGTAGTAAAAAAAAAGTAACTTTTATTGAACATTTTATTTTATTTTTAAGCACCTACTTAGTACCAAACTACACTTCATGTTTTTATTTAACAATGAAGTTGGTATTTCTACTATTAAATGATTCACCAAGTCGGTAGTTCTGCGCAGTTTGCGTACGAGTAGATCCAATTTTTACAAACTTTTTTGAATTTCCAGGTAGCTGCGCACCAGTAGACTGCTCGGCTGATGCGCGTGGCGAGCCGAACGACGAGGAGGCCCTCGTCACTTCTTCCACGGGAATATTCGTTTTCGATCCGAATGATAATGCAGGTAAAATTACAACAGAGTTATGATCCATTCACACATTATGAGTGAAGCGCCACAGTTCCGTCAATGTGTTCCTCAGAGTATCTGAGAGCACTGTGTCGTCACTGGCACTGAAAAGTGGGGATCATCATCATCATCTCAGCCATAGGACGTCCACTGCTGAACATAGGCCTCCCCCAATGCTTTCCCATTCTGCTGTGGGGAAAATGGGGATGCGTTCATAGAGAATTTATCAAAGAATATTTCGTACTGTAACTTGACTGATATGTGGGAATCTACCTTTAAACAAGGTCCTTTATTACGCTACCGAAGGATATTATATCATGGAAAATATATCGGCAATCATCCACTAGATTGGAAGAAACAAGCTAATCTCGAGTCAAACTTTCCCAACCTGTCCTATGCCAACTATAAAACAAGCCACGGTAAAATAAGTAAATAACTTATTACTTACTTATTTTACCGTGGACGTTTATAGAAGTGGGGACTTCTATTCACAAGCCTCAATTTACATAATACTTATTTGATGATTCCAGTTCTGAAGTGCGCGGAGACGGGCATCAGGCCGCTGTGGCTGCTGTACCTGGCCATCGCGCTGGGCGTTATGTTCCTGGTCATGCTGCTCATCAACTGCTTCCTCTGCACCGCCATGACCTGCTCCTGCGCCCGGACTGACGTGAGTTCATGCACCAGTCACCGTCATAGATGTAGGAGTAAAGTAAAGGCGCTTTCAAATTAGGAGTTTTGAAACGGACGTACCTAAGTCTTGCGTTTGCAAGACTGCACACTAACTGTTGATTATTGACATTTTTATTCCAAAGCTGTTCTCATACAATTTTTCGTGTGCGGTACTGCAAACGGACGACTAACGACCGTTTCAAAACGCCTAATTTGAAAGCGCCCCAAGAGCAAACAATCTCACAACATTGCTGGTATATTTTTTGCTTGGGCCTACCTACTTGAAGCTATGTACCTACTATATTCCTCAAATGTCAAAAAGACTCAACCAAAAACCTAAATGGCTCTACCAGCCGCATTTGACTAAATTTTTCGCTGCAACAAAACAATAATCGACGATAACCTAAGACCGTGCTGAATAAACGTGATTTTATACCAAGCCTGGTCATGCCGCATAATTTATGAAAACATGTCTCTCTCCAGGTTATCGAGAAAGACCCATCAGTTGTGGAAGACTACGACCCTTACCGTAGCTGGCACGGCAGTCAGTACGGAAGCAGGTACCCATCTTCAACCATTCATTCAGCGAGGTAAGGAGGGTCACTCAGTCTGCCCTGATGTAGATGCTTGGTATCATAATGCATGCAGAGGTAGGTACAGAGGTGATCTATATCCATTCACACTGTACATATACAATTCTTATAGTACCGACGACAGCACATCAAGGGCTAAACAAAAACTGTAGCGTTTATAGTTTGCAATAGGTGCCATAATTCAATAAATATTGTTAGCCAGATGTGCTTCCGACTGTACATAGAGTTGCTTCACTGTGAAATAAGGGTTGTTACAAAATGTATAACAAAAGAAGTTTTGAATAAGATACTTATGTTAAATAAAAGATTATGTAAGTTTATTAAATGTCATTCAGAAGTATTTTCAGCGATAGAAGCTATAATGCGAAATGTTTGTGCACTGTCCTTTGAAGACACTGGTCAATTGGTATCTTTTGAAACAACCTGTTAAGAGTAATAATCTTATTAAGCATAATTAATTTATCAAGAAATAATGCCTGGTACACAATACACACTTAACTGGAATGCATTTTTTAAAAAGACTGTGCTTACTTAATTTTATTAAAGCTGATTGCACGCTCGCTTCCAACCCACTAGGATACTAGGCAAATATGCTTTAAAGCTATATCTGACGTCGAAATATAGTGTAAAATTTATCGATAAATATTTTTACAGATCGGTTTCCGACAATAGTGACCATTACGCGATAGTGCAGTCTCGGCCAGGCAGCCGCCACTCGGGCATGCACCGCGCCAGGCACTAAGCTAAACGAACTACCACAACTAATTGAACTAGAAAAAAAGAAANAAAAGAAGAAGGATAAATACAAAACCAATAATCTGGGGTTTCGCCACCTTTTTGGATGGGAAACTACTCGATCTTATTTCTAATTCCCTGCAACATTCAGCAAATATTTTAAAAACAAAAGATGTCGCTCTGATATTGCTCCATGTGTGCAGAAATTACAATAATAAGTAGGTAATAGTGTTTTGATAGCAATAACTTTACAATATACACTATATTCCTTAATGTTACCTGTAAAATATCTCGTTACAATTTTGAAATGAATTTAACTTGTGCCATCCATGTGTGTACCTTGTGAGACCGTAGAGTCTTATGCCTTTGAATGTTTGAAAGAAATTCAAACTTAAACTGAACGATGCAACGAATCCGTCCCTTTTAATAGTAAATGTAAGTACTTATAAATAAAATGTGATAGTCGGCTTGACAATTTTATTATCATCCTCTTATATTAATTTGAAAACGTTGACCTCGGAAAGGGGGTAGATTATCTTTTTTATCGTAGAAAAAAGCCGGCTAACCACCTAAATAGCATAGTAAAATTTCAAATAATAAATTGATAAGAGTAACATAGAAATGCAGTCGATTATGACTTAATTTATGTTTGTAATAATAAAATAATAAAAACTGATTAATACAATCGTGTTGCTGAATACGTATTTCCGTAGAGATGTTTACTGGCATCGTTAATTTAGTTAATTTGTTTTTTCTTCCTTTTATTAACGGCCAGTTTACATTTTATCAACTGTAGAGTGAGAAGAAAACATTTTTTGTCGAATTTCAAACTACGAGTATAGTATAGAGAAAAAAACATAAATACGTTGATATAGAAATTCAACTAAAATAATATGTTTTTAGTTAGTAATCCCTATCTTTCTTTTTCAAAGTATAGGTTCCGTACGTTTATAATTTAAATTAAGAGTATCACTTTGATCACCAACGCGAAAATTCGCCTACTTAAATAAAAAGATTTAACTAACAATATTGAATAAATAAAAGGTTCTGTTTTGAATTGTCTCAACCACCCTTAACATTCAGCCGAATTATTGCTTGGTGATCGAAAATGTTAAAACTCTACAATTAAGTATCCTAATTACTACTTAGTAGTTACTATTATAAAATGTACCACATCATCTTAACTGTGAATAATATGTAATTATAATGTTACTTTGGAGTGACGTTTAGTTAAGAACGTGTGTTGATTTGTAAAAATAATTAATAAGTGAGTGAGTGTTTAGTAATGTATTATAATAGTAGTAGTTATTGACCGTTAACTGGTTTCTATAAAAGTATTTTGATTATTTTGAAAATGTATGCAAAAGAATCTCTTGTTGACCAAACCGTATTAAGTCTTAGACATGAAACGAAACTGAATTGAACAATTTATTAGTAAGATCAAGCCTCTTACATGCAAGTTGTGATTATGAAATTAATAAATATTTTACTAAAACATTACTTGTAGTATTATTTAGTGACCTTGTTAAGAAAATTTCTAGAGTAAAAGGGTGTATTAAAAGAAGTTAGCTGCACACAAACCGTCAATAAGTAATATTTATTATTCAAGTGTTTAACACTATTTACTTTCACTAATACATAAGTTCAAGAAAACTGATATAAAACATTTCACGGTTCAATTTTTATGTTTACTTTGAATTACTGAGTTTTTTTTTATATTTTCACAATTACAAAAATAATTATATCACAGAATTCATCTCATCAATGATCTTATTTGATAAGACACAAAATAATCAAAAATTTTGAAGGTTTAACTAAAGAATACAATCAAAAAAGTTTCGTGATATGTAATGGTTCTTCACTTTTGAAAAGTTAGCTGCCAATTTTTAGAATCCATTACATTTTTTACAATTAAAACTAAAAGTAATTTACATAAAATTGGATAATATTAAATACATTTATCTACGTCGAACTACAAATACCTATATACAGATATCAATATAGTTTACATTAAAAACAGTAAATATTACTAAAAGGTTTAGACTAGAAAGTGGCAACTGTTAGTATAGTTGTAAATTTACCGAAATTAATATATTTTTCTAAATAATATATGTTTAAATAAACAAACTAATAATGGTATAATAGTTGTACGTGTCGCATATGGCACAAGAATCTATTCAATTGGAATGTTAATTGCAAAATGCCCTCACAAATTTAAAACGCTGGTTAAAAATTTAAATATCTTAAAATAACCTAGGCAATAATGGTAACGTTTACATGTTTATTATAATTAAATTCAATAAAATAACTCAATAGGGGATCAGAGACCACACCACCAGCCAATTGAGGTACTTTTATGGCCTGTCAACAAAATGCTGTTTCTCATAATTATGTTCTTGCAATATCAAATCAAAATACTTAAACGAAAATTCCAGCTTTTCGCACACAATTTTAAAATCGATGTCTTATTAAATCCTTTGAAAATGTAATCCGATCCCCTATTATATCCAAAAGTATCAATATCTGAGAATAACTTACGCTAAACGGATATGAAAGATAGTGCTGATGTGGGTTGCGTAATATTAAAATACTATATCATCATAATTGCGTTAGTGTCAGGCTAAAGTTTAGTTAATTGGTTAGTTCTTGCCTTTGTGCTCGAGTATGGAGTTGGCGACGTGCTCGAAGACCGAGCGTTTGTAGATGCGCGGCTGGCGCTTGGCCAATGGATGCGGGTAGAACCCGAGAGCCGGCTCATCGTCGAACCAGCTGGAGGTAGGCTGGAATTGCAATTGGTGGTCATCAGCTATTGTAAGTAAGGGCTTATTTCCAAAGGTCTATCGTTTTCAAAAAATGTAAGTTCATAATTTGATTCCCAACGGGTCAACGAGTTCCACGACATAAAAAATTGAAAAGCAGTTTCTTAGGTATATTTTAAAATTTCATAGACGCAGTGGCCAAATAAGAACAATAGAGTCGTGGACTTTTGGGAATAAGACATTGTAAGATCAATATAGAACACACTACTTTAATATGTATAGGTACGAACGAAGGAAGATACGGCAGCATTTAGGCGCTTGTAAAGTTAGTAAGCTAGCCCCCGGACTACTCAACCTTCACTGGTTGGGTTTCATTGGAGGCCAAACTGTAGATCCTGGATAAACAGGATTTGCAGTGGTGTGTACTAAATAGTAGCTTGATCACCAATAGAAACCCAACAAATCCCAGATTGTCATTGAATCCTTATACTCTTGCTACTGTGACCTCCAAATTAAGATGAGCATCAGAAATTAAGTTGACGTCGTTGCCACTTGATATTAATTTATTCCTAAGGTATCCAGAAAATAGTATACACCTCCAACAAACAACCTTCGTCATACTCCTACACACGAAAGCCTTGTGCGGATCTACGTCATTACTTCATTTACCCCGTGCTTTGACGTCATCGAGCTATCACATTGATTACGGGTTCAACATATCGGAAGATAATAATCGACGGCTCGTGAGATCATAAAAATAGCTCTGTTGAAACGAGTCGCATCAATCGATTCAATGCCGTTTATTATTCATTCCGCTACTCGATTAAATCTGCAGTGATGAAACTGTAGCACTTATTTAATCTGATTATACAAGGCTAGCGGTTTATTGGATTTTATTGCCTGTTCGTTCGTTCGTTTCAGCCAAATGACGTCCACTGCTGGACAAAGGCCTCCCCCAAGGTTTTCCACAATGAACGGTCCTGCGCTGCCCGCATCCAGGCTCTTCCCGCGACCTTTACCAGATTTTATTGCCTGTAAATGAACTTAATGAAATATATTGTCTCTTTACTAGCATACCACTGAATCACTGGGTAGGCCAGGATTACGAAACTTGGGTTGATGGTAAAATTAACTCGACCTAACAAAATTAGGAGACATGACCCCACATAAAGTGTAATCAAGCTTAGGTCGAAGAAGAAGACATTCAATATGTATCCTTTACTATGGAGTAGGAACTGAAACACAAGGATTTCTCGTACCTAACTCGTAATTTACAAACATGTAGTTATTACATAATACTTCTCTAGCTTTCGCTCTTCCGGCCATAGCGGGGTAACTTTTTATGGAATTCAGAATGCAGTCATGTAATTATGAGTCTAGATGACAGACAAGTCATAAGTCTGATGACATAAAAACTTGTTAAATTAAAAGAGAGCGGAAATCTCAGGGAGAACCGCGTATTCTCCCAACTGGATAGCAGGTAGCGGTCACCTCCGTATCAGGCTGTGACAGAAGTCGTAACGCAAATTCAGCTACATCTGTCTGATACAATCGCTACGTTAAGCACGTGAGCGGAGGTACTCCTAAGACCGGGTAGTTCTTGAGTGGCAAGAGGTAACCTAATGAGGACCCGGAGTGAAGTGACAATAATAATCACTACTTATTTTACCTTTTGATTGTCTTTTGTCTCACGCGGGACACAAGAGCTTCCTCGTTGNTAAAATCGCGGCACCTATCCCACTGGGGCATGTATCCTGGAATTACCCTATATCATCATAATTGCGTTAGTGTCAGGCTAAAGTTTAGTTAGTTGGTTAGTTCTTGCCTTTGTGCTCGAGTATGGAGTTGGCGACGTGCTCGAAGACCGAGCGTTTGTAGATGCGCGGCTGGCGCTTGGCCAATGGATGCGGGTAGAATCCGAGAGCCGGCTCGTCGTCGAACCAGCTGGAGGTAGGCTGGAATTGCAATTGGTGGTCATCAGCTATTGTAAGTAAGGGCTTATTTCCAAAGGACTATCGTTTTCAAAAAATATAAGTTCATAATTTGATTCCCAACGGGTCAACAAGTTCCACGACATAAAAAATTGAAAAGCAGTTTCTTAGTAGGTATATTTTAAAATTTCATGGACGCAGTGGCAAAAGAAGAACAATAGAGACGTGGACTTTTGGGAATAAGACATTGTAAGATCAATATAGAACACACTACTTTAATATACTTAGGTACGAAGGAAGATACGGCACCATTTAGGCGCTATAAAGCTTGTAAAGTTAGTAAGCTAGCCCCCGGACTACTCAACCTTCACTGGTTGGGTTTCATTGGAGGCCAAACTGTAGATCCTGGATAAACAGGATTTGCAGTGGTGTGTACTAAATAGTAGCTTTATCACCAATAGAAACCCAACAAGTCCCAGATTGTCATTGAATCATTATACTCTTGCTACTGTGACCTCCAAATTAAGATGAGCATCAGAAATTAAGTTGACGTCGTTGCCACTTGATATTAATTTATTCCTAAGGTATCCAGAACAGTGCCGTATTATCCATAAGGCACTTTAGGCCAGTGCCTAGGGGCCCACTATGACCAGGGGCCCAGCACTCCCGATTAAAAAATAAAAATAAAATGTTAACTTCGTCTTATTTTGGTTTACACATTCAATCGTCATATTTCGATATTGTGGAACCTAATTCATTCTCGTAACGTTGGCATTACTGCTTTGGTTTACATGAAAGGTCGACCGTCGACGCCCTTCAGAAGCTAAAAAGCCTCACTGCGGAGGCTAGGGAGAGGGGTGATGGTGTGTTGACTCTATCATTCGATATAGCCAACGCTTTCAATACCATCCCTCGTTTCACCATACTCTAGGCACTTCAACATCACAGAGTGCCTTAGTACCTTCGAGCGCTACTGGCCGATTTCTTACGGGACCGCGAAGTCCTGTATGTTAACAGAGACGGCCAGCTCACGGCGTGGTGTAGCCAGCGGGGTTCCGCAGGGTTCGGTGCTCGGTCCACTCTTGTGGAACCTAGGCTTCAACTGGCTCCCCCGGAGCGTCCTTCTCGCGGGCATGACGGGCCGCCACACAGGACGGACGTCAGTGCTTGCACTAGCTTACACAGTGAACATATACCAGTGTTTTATTTAAGACACCACAAGTGTCATATGCTATGCGGATGCGGATGACACTGGTCACTGCCCGGGGGAAGACATTTAGGGCCGCGGCACGGCTGGTGTCGGCGGGCGGCACATTAGTCGCTCGCAGAATACGACGCCTCGGCCTAAAAGTCGCGCTGGATGCGCGGCCTGCGGCGATGCGGGACCTCGCCAGCGCACCCCTCCCGACGCCCACATCGTTGTTGAGGACGTTAGGATTGACGTCAAAGGCCAGATGAAATATCTGGGCCTCACGCTTGACAGGAGGTGGCATTTCAGCCCGCACTTCAACGGGCTAGCGCCACGCCTCCTCAAGGCAGCCGGCGCACTGAGTTGGCTCCTCCCGAATTTGGGAGGGCCACAAACGAGGTGTCGTCAACTTTATGCCGGCGTTCTGAGGAGCATGGTGCTGTATGAACCACGGCAGAAAGCCGCAAGGACCTACCGCACGGTAGGACACGCTGCGGCGTGCGTCCTCGCTGGTACTCCTCCTTGGGAGCTAGAAGCTGGGGTCTTGTCTGTCATAATAATTATCTATCACTGGATGGCAGACCAGAAGGCGCGTGGAAAGCGCCCGGCGCCGTCAGGCAGGAAGAGCGTGAGATTATGATCGACCGCTGGAAGGAAGACATGACTCGCGCGCAGTTTGGCCGTCGCACTCTGGACGCCATTGGTCCTATTATGGACCAAAGTCAAAGTCAAAGTCAAAATTTCTTTATTTGTTTGGACTAATAAATAGTTCTTACAAATCGTCATTTTGCTCTTAAGGAGCCTCTACATGTCTCATAATCTTTTTACCCTACCAGCGCTTCGAGACCAACATTTGGCAAGTGCTGAGAAGAAGCGCCGCAACAAACTCAGTCACCACTGTCTGCCGGTTAATATAAATAAATAGAAATAGTAGTAGTAGGTACATTCGATTCAGGAGCAGTTCACTGAATTTACCATGCATTCTTGTATGGTGTATCTTATAAGAATGGGTATACAAGATTGCGTGGTATATTAAACAAGGTAGTGACGTGCTAATTTCTAGACTTACATATTAAGATACTAGTAGAAATGACTCGCATACATAAATTTGAATAACTTGGATTGACCAGTCCCCGAAAGCAGCGCCTGTTCACAGACATGACGAGTGAACCAGCCATCGCTTCACTCGACCATATTAGAGGGAATGTAACGACCCGCCTCACTACGCCACCACCCCAGAGACATTTTAGTGAGAATGACAATTCCAAGTTATCTCTTTAAAAAAGAACTAATAATAAAGCTAAGTAACAGTCCAGATTGAGAAGCATGACACTATAACATTTGAGAAATTATTATTAGTTTATACATTACTTTTCATTTTAATTCTTTTTAGTGCGAGCATGAGAGGACCATAATCCTACTCCCAGGAAGACTTATCATTAAGAAAATCTCGAGTTGTATAATAGGCTTTTTTAAGCATGTGATCTTTAACTATATCTTTAAATTTATTATACGGTAGCTCTTTATATTTATCAGGGACTTTGTTATAAAAATGGATACCTTGTCCCATAAAAGTAGCAAACACTTTATTAAGTCTAAAAGGTTGGAATGACCGCACGGGTTCCTCACGTTCCGTCTGGCGAAGGTGCTGACCGGGCATGGCTGCTTCGGTTCGTACCTGCATAGGATCGGGCGAGAGGAATCCCCGCTGTGCTACAAATGCGGCGCGGCCGATGACACGGTGCAGCACACCCTCGCGGTCTGCACAGGCTGGGAGGAGCAGCGCCGTGTCCTCACTGCGGTCGTGGGCTGGGATCTTTCGCTTCCGAGTCTGGTCAACGCCATGCTGGGAAGTGAAGGATGCTGGATGGCGGTCGCCTTTTTTTGCGAAGAGGTCATCCTTCAGAAGGAGGCAGCGGAGCGCGAGCGGGAGAACGATCCTCTCGCCTCATCGCATCGCAGGCGGAGAAGGGGGTGAAGAAGGCGGTTGTACGACCGTTCTACTCAGCCCCCAGGTGGAGGCCAGCAGGCCGGAGGTACGGGGGCACCCTTGTCACCTCCGTCTGACGGGAATGGCTTGGCGTTTCAGGCCATTCCCTCCGGACCCCCACAAGGGGGCGTGTAGGGTCCGCCTTGTAGGCGAGCTGTCGCCGGTGGTGTCGCGGAAGTCTAAGGCTACGGCCGGATACTCGCGACACCCCCACTTGGGCGATGATGGAACGCCGCGGAGGTTTTAGTGGGTATACCCCGTCCTTTTCAGGACAGAGCAGCGCCCTTTTTAGGGCGCCGGGAGTCCCACACAGCACCCTGTCCCCCAGCAGTGGTGACGGTGCGCAAAGCATTTCCTCCGCGACAAAAAAAGGGGGGCCCGAAACGAGCTGTGCCTAGGGGCCCTGAGATGGTTAATCCGGCCCTGATCCAGAAAATAGTATAATACACCTCCAACAAACAACCTTCGTCATACTCCTACACACGAAAGCCTTGTGCGGATCTACGTCATTACTTCATTTACCCCGTGCTTTGACGTCATCGAGCTATCACATTGATTACGGGTTCAACATATCGGAAGATAATCGACGGCTCGTGAGATCATAAATATAGCTCTGTTGAAACGAGTCGCATCAATCGATTCAATGCCGTTTATTATTCATTCCGCTACTCGATTAAATCTGCAGTGATGAAACTGTAGCACTTATTTAATCTGATTAGGCAAGGCTAGCGGTTTATTGGATTTTATTGCCTTCAAATGAACTTAATGAAATTTGTCTCTTTACTAGCATGTACCACTGAATCACTGGGTAGGCCAGGATTACGAAACTTGGGTTGATGGTAAAATTAACTCGACCTCCCAAAATTAGGAGGCATGACCCCAGATAAAGTGTAATCAAGTTTAGGTCGAAGAAGAAGAAATGCAATCTATCCTTTACTATGGAGTAGGAACTGAATACAAGGATATCTCGTAACTTAAAAATATGTAGTTATTACATAATTCTTCTCTAGCTTTCGCACATCCAGCCATCAGGGTAACTTTTTATGGAATTCAGAATGCAGTCATGTAAGCCTAGATGAATGACAGACAAGTCATAAGTCTGATGACATAAAAACTTGTTAGTAGAAGCTCTCATTTTATTAAATTAAAAGAGAGCGGAAATCTCAGGGAGAAGACGCGGAAGCAACTGGATTAGGTAGCGTTCACCTCCGTATCAGACTGTGACAGAAGTCACTACGCAAATTCAGCTACATCTGTCTGATACAATCGCTACTTAAGCACGTGAGTGGAGGACCGGGTAGTACTTAGTTATCTTGAGTAGCAAGCGGTCACCTCCTGATGACCCGGAGTAAAGTGACAATCATAGTCACTATGTCCACCTGTTGATTGTCTTTTATCTCACGCGGGACACCGGGAAGTAGTTCGGGTGGCTCGCCGTCACCTCGTAGAGGCCGGGGTCAGGAGGCGACAGCAGTCACAGTACACCTGCTGATAGTCTATGGTCACCAGCTCACCTCGAGCCTGAAGTTGAGCACGTGAGCTGAGGTCTGCTTCTCGGGCACCGGGAAGTAGTTCGGGTGGCTCGCCGTCACCTCGTAGAGGCCGGGGTCAGGAGGCGACAGCAGTCACAGTACACCTGCTGATAGTCTATGGTCACCAGCTCACCTCGAGCCTGAAGTTGAGCACGTGAGCTGAGGTCTGCTTCTCGGGCACCGGGAAGTAGTTCGGGTGGCTCGCCGTCACCTCGTAGAGGCCGGGGTCAGGAGGCGACAGCAGTCACAGTACACCTGCGGATAGTCTATGGTCATCAGCTCACCTCGAGCCTGAAGTTGAGCACGTGCACGGAGGTCTGCTGCTCGGGCACGGTGACCACGCGCGACACCGGGAAGTAGTTGGGGTGGCTCGCCATCACCTCGTAGTACACCTGCTGATAGTCTATGGTCACCAGCTCACCTCGAGCCTGAAGTTGAGCACGTGAGCTGAGGTCTGCTTCTCGGGCACCGGGAAGTAGTTCGGGTGGCTCGCCGTCACCTCGTAGAGGCCGGGGTCAGGAGGCGACAGCAGTCACAGTACACCTGCGGATAGTCTATGGTCATCAGCTCACCTCGAGCCTGAAGTTGAGCACGTGCACGGAGGTCTGCTGCTCGGGCACGCTGCCCACGCGCGACCACCGGGAAGTAGTTGGGGTGGCTCGCCATCACCTCGTAGTGGCCGAGTCAGGAGCGACAGCAGTCACAGTACACCTGCTGATAGTCTATGGTCACCAGCTCACCTCCAGCCTGAAGTTGAGCACGTGAGCTGAGGTCTGCTGCTCGGGCACGGTGACCACGCGCGACACCGGGAAGTAGTTGGGGTGGCTCGCCGTCACCTCGTAGTGGCCCGGAGTCAGGAGGCGGTAGTAGTCTCCGTAAACACCTGATTATTAATAGGTTAGGTACCTTAGTATTTAGCAAAATCAAAATTTAAATAATAATTTAGACTGTAATCTGCATAACTTGTAATGTGACGTGACGGGTATTTACTTGTAACAAACTCGCATGACATAGCTGCTGAATTATTAAACTCAGCTGTGGGTCTGCCTGCGGTCTACTCATCTCACAACCAAAGTTTATATTATTGGAATCGTTAAAAGCTTATTTAGACTGTCACAATCACAAGTAGCGTCTAACGGTCAACTAAGATAAAGCACTCAATTAAAATGTTCAACGAGAAATAAGGAAGTGCTTAGTTAATCCGAGACCCGTAACTATGCATTCATATCATGCACAATGAGCTGTGACTGTGAGTTTACATTGCACTACCATACCACTCGTAGTCCGTTGAAAAACAATTTTATTATATCAGTTTGCAGTATGCCATTATAATATTCATGAAATAATAAAGGTGATCTAGTAATTAATATTACAAACCTGTTGTCACATCGTGTCGGATCGGTCGAGGCACCGGTCCGGTAATGTTCACCACGGATATGATGGCATTCTGTATAAAACCGGTGTCGTCGCTGACAATTCCCTTGACACCGATATGGGCTTTCCACAGGTAAGTCAGTAACGCCTCGCGGTTCCTCTCCCATTCCCTCGCCAAGTCCTTCGCGTGCGGATATTTTTCGCATCCCAACTCCAGAGTAACCTCAAACGCATTCGTAGCCAGGTAATTGAAATCTTGCATTCCTAAAACGAAACTTACGTTTAAGAAGTACAAATGCTACAAATAGGAAGGCATTTACTATGACACAAAAACAGTTGTAACAATCCACTTGACAAACAAAGCAAAAAAAATTAGCTATGCTAAACCAGTTCGCGTCTCATGGCCACTACAACTCTCAAGTTAAATTGTAGGTAAATGCCAATGTACGCTTCTACAATAAGAAGTAATCTATAATAACAATCTTCCTGGTTTTGACTTCCTGCTGTTAAAGCATTAAACTTTTAAAATAAATATGATACGAACTCAAAGGAGTAAAAAGCTTTCTATTATACATAATTTAACTCGCTATACAATGTAACATAATTATACATAGGTACATAATATTAATTACGCCGCGTGACCGAGATCTAAATTATTGACGGTCATATTTGTTTGCATTAATGATCGCCTGTTTACATTACTAACACGCGTACATGAAACAACTCGGTATTCCTGTGACATTCTACGAAGTACGATTATCCAACGTAGAACACTTGTTGTCGACAGTAAGTCGCACACTTAGTGCAATAACGTCAGAAGTGCAAAAAACACACTTGGTGGAATAACGTCAGAAGTGCAAAAACACACTTGGTAAAATAACGACAGAAGTGCAAAAAACACTTGATGCATTATTGCACCAACGTATTGATTGACGTTACCGTCAGAAATGCAAAAAATGCACTTCTGACGTTATTGCACTATTGTGAGCGAAGTCATAATAAAATAACATTAATATACCACGAGTGCCGTGGTCTGTTTATTAGAATTAGTTCATTGATAATGTCAAACACCATCTGTACTGAATCGTAGGTGTGCATTTGAAATGAGATTAGGTAATTTTACGAGTAGTATCTGGGCCGAGACATCAAACGCAGCACTTTAGTGAATGTAAATCGCAAACAAACTAGATTATAAAAGTAAACTGAGGTGAAAATTTATGAAGATAAGACCTACAAAGAGAAAAGATTCCTATTTATTAATAACCTAGCCCCTTTCTGATTCATTGTCAGACGCGCTCTCTGTTCCAATATACATATTGCGTTGAATATCTAACTCTTACTTCTATTAAGTACTTATGAGTACTGAGAGTACAGTATAACCATCTAAGGGAAATGATATACAAATCAGGACAGAAGAAGATAACTCTTCTTTGCCTGGCCCATTCCCATTTTATTTAGGATCTGCCCTATGTATCATGCGTCTCCAGGCGGCTCGATTCTGGGTAGTCTAGCTGTTGACATGAAACACACAACATTGAACAGAAGAATATACCTAAATAAAGTATATTGTCTCACTTACCTCCTTTCAAGCTGTACCAAGCTGCTCCATTGGTAACGCCTCCTTGCTTCCCGAAGTTGTAAGAGCCAGATTCGTCGGCGATGTTGGTGCGACAACCGCGGCGGGTGGCCGAAGCCATGTCGGCGTGGGCTGAAGCGTACGCTGCGGCTATTTCCCTAATAATATTATACAAATTGTTAATGGCTACTTTGAGCAAATTGAGCGATTTGAACAAGATAGAAAACGAAAAAAAAGATGTAAGAAATAGCTAAACTACTTAATACAATTTATCATAATTATTAACATAACATTTGGCTGATGATGCTAATCATTCTTAGTCACGACGCAGCCTAAAACAATTTAGCTCTGTACAAGCAAGGACGAAACATGTCGTTTGAAACAGATATAATACGTTCATACAATCCCCCAGGACATTGCCGCAGAATAAAATGGACAAACAAGAACAAGACACATCATTAGTTGTTTGCGACAAAACTCAAATGAATTTTACGGCAGATTCGGTAACTGAATCCTCAATCACCAATACCTACCTCACAAACAAAACGTGCAGCTATAAGATAATGGTAATACCTAAACGTATCATCGTCAGGACTCGCAGAGTATTCAGAGTCAGGAGCCCCGCTCCTGCTCTCATCATAGGGGTAGTTGGCCACCAGGTCGCCGCCATGCATCGCCGCGCTCAGAACGAAGGGCACCGACATGATCCATCGCATCACAGCGCGGGTTTCGGGCTCCAACTAAAATGTTCCACCATGCTTTGAAAAACAATTGACATCCAACATCTTTCGCGTTGATGGATGCGCAAACTTATAAGCTAAAACAATTGACAGTAGTCGGTTTTACTAAAGTGTTCCACCATGCTTCAAAAACAATCGACAGTCTTTCTGTTCCGGCTCATAATAATTCACCTACACACAGTTTGGTTGTGGTGCTTCATAAAGAGACATTTTGCGTTGATTGGATACTTACGTAAAATTTTTATTGCCATTTTAATTGCGGTATTTTATCAAATATGTACCATTAAAAATAAATCGGAAATAAATAAAAATAGCGTTCTTTCCTTGTTTAACTTTTAATTAAGTAGAAGTAGGTAAGTACATAGAAGTTTATGATTCTAATAAAGAATAATTTGTTCCCGTAACTAAACTGAACTGTAACTGAAATCAAAACGAATAGATTGTTTGATTTAATTAAAAATATTTTTCTTAGATTAAACTTTATGACATGAATTTAGCATCGCATTTTAATCAAAAATGTAAAGCGCTAAACCTATAACGCCCTATCCATAACGCTTGACTCACCCCAACTGTTATGAATAAAGTGCAAAATGCATATTATGGTATCTCTTCCTGTACTCAATGCGCATTTATGCAAACGCAGGAAACGTTGACCCTGTCCCTAACACACGATAATTGATAATGGTGACAATTCATTATGAAAGAAGAGTACTTAATTAGTTTACTTACCGGCGCGACCAGTCGGGTCACATCTTTTAACAGATGGTTGTTATGGTTAATGCCCTGGCGCTCGAACTCAAACGTTATGGTGTCTAAGTCCGGGAAGTTTCTATTCAAGTCCACGGAATGGTTATTGTTACGCCCAATCAAGTAATCTCGTCCACCCTAAAAACAAACAGTATAGCTCATTCAAACTTTTTGAAACTTCTCCCCCACCCCAACTTAGTAGTACGTCATTATCGTCATAAGTATTTGAATCTGCGATTTCAAATTTATTATGTAAATTCACGGAATAAATACTAGATTAAAACTTATGAGAGCGGTTGAGGCTCATCAAGTAAGCACTTTAGCTTTTCATTATTTTAATCTAGTTTTGCACACCAATAATTGTATTTCCTACACACACAGATTACGTGAATACTTTTATATTATAGCATGTATATCAATGTAACAAACATTTTCATTCATAGGCAGAATAACATTGGAAAGGACTGGAAAATTTCTATTAAACTAATAAATAACTTCAGGTCATTACGAAACTTACGAAAACAAAAAAAATTACTAAACTTACGGTATCAGTAGACAGTTGCCAACCATCTGGGTTCATAGACGGTAACAAGTGAATACGGGTGCTGTGAATCAGTGCTCTGATGCGGCGGTCATTCTTCAGGTATTGATCACAGAGGTGATGAGCAAGACCCAAGAGCAATTCCCGACCAAGAACTTCATTGCCATGAATATTACCAACATATTTTACTTCGGGTTTGTCTACAAAAGATTAAATAAATGTGCGAGAATTACTTTTTATATTTGCATACGTAAAATAATTGGAGGTAGCTCAAAAAAACTTACAAGGCTGGTGGAATCCGGGTGTATCAGAGAACTCGATAACATAAAGAGGAACATTGCAGACCGATGGTTCAGTCAGAGCATAAACTCTAGTTATGTTAGGGCATTTATCGTGAACTTCTTCCAAAATCAATGGTAATTCCTCATTATTATGGTGTTTCCAAACAAATTCAGCTGACACTGTTAAAGCAAACACTAAGCACAGGAACGGATAGATCGTCATGGTTATTTTTTAGGTAAAATTATTTGAAAGTTTAATCAAATTAACATCACTGACGTAGTGCTAAGCCACTGCTACCCCAACACGACACGAGACACACTGTCGCTCGTGCGAAGTATCGATCGATTTTCCCGCCCGCGGACAGCAGTCAACGCGACCCTCCTCTGTCCTCTCTCCGCCAATCGTCGACGTCATTCATACCATAGACAAGGTGCGTTTTGTTCGTGCAAGTAAAACGTTCGAGTAATAAAAAATATAGCTCATTTTTAATTTCATTTTAATTAAAGAAGATTAGTTTTGTATTTATTTATTAACTTTATCAAATAAATCATTTCAGTTTGCGTACTTACGAAAAACACTGTCAATGACGATAGGTAAAGGTTATAAAACCGATCACAGATGGCGCTGTAGGAAATCTACGGTGATGTGGAAATAACTTTAGCCGTACCTACATCTACACATCCTACTTAGTTACTTACATTATTGGTTAAATCTATACAAACCAAAAATATTTGAATTTGTTCCTATTTTAGAAATGTTTTAATCCTTTCAATGTAGGTAGGTAAGTACCTAAAATGTAATGTTAAAAGTAAATACCTACTCTTGATTGCACGTCAAGTTCGAAATATAGACACAATTTAGGCGGTCTTATAACTAGGAAGCGATATCTTCTCTTCCAGATAACCCCAGGTAAGGACTGTTGTTTAACGTTTATTTTAAAAAGAATTGAATTAGTAAGAAGCGATTTATTGTATATCTTGTTTGATAAACTAGATGAGAATCAAGCATACGTCATAATAAAACACGTCTTATACCAGTGTTACTTCTTTATTAGCGATAAAACATTATTAATGCACTACTTTTCTAACTTTCTAGTCTAAAAACTGCAAAGAACACTACGAAAAGTTGAATTATTTTCAACCGACTTCAAAAAAGGAGGAGGTTCTCAATTCGACCCGTATGTTTTTATCAACAACATTTATAAACGCGTTTTTTGTGTTTATGGATTATTTCCAAAATAAATAACATCGTAGAAATTATCACTCCAATAATGTATATGATGAAAACTCCCTGAAAAGTAATAATGTTATTAGTGGCTTTGTCTACTAAAGCAGCACATAGCACTGTTTCAGATTTTAGATAGTTTTAAACACTTTTTCATTCTCTGTCAAAATAGTTTTGAGTGTTGCCAACAACAAATACCTATAAGAGTAGGCGCACACCTTTGATTTTTCGTCGGCCGATAGTTTAGTCGGGCAGATGATCAGTATGGTCATGTATGGGAGTGCGCACACTACGCCGATTCGATTTGGCCAATTCTTCATACAAATTAAAATCGGGCACAACTATCGGCCAACTAAAATCAACGGTGTGCGCCTACTCTAATACTTGGGTTACAAAGGACATCATCCATTTTGGTCCAAAATCAAAAGTGCCGGCCAAAAAATAAAAGTGCTGTATTCTGATAGAATACGTCCGCCTTAGCATTTATTACTATGGCACCAAAGCTGTAGCACCACTGTGCATCGTAGTATTTGAGTTCTAAAAATATATGAAACGACTGACTTTGATCTCAAATACTACGACGCACAGTGGTGCTACAGCTTTGGTGTCATAGTAACAAATGCTAAGGCGGACGTATTCTGTCAGAATACAGCACTTTTTTTTTATTGGCCGACATTTTTGATTTTGAACAAAAAATGTATGAATCGTCGATGAATTTTAGATCTCAAATACTCGACGCATAGTGGTGCTACAGCTTTGGTGCCATAGTAACAAATGCTAAGGCGGACGTATTCTGTCTGAACACAGCACTTTTTATTTTATTGGCCGACACTTTTGATTTTGAACAAAAAATGTATGAATAATCGATGACTTTTAGATCTCAAATACTCGACGCACAGTGGAGCTACGGCTTTGGTGCCATAGTAACAAATGCTAAGGCAGACGTATTCTGTCAGAATACAGCACTTTTTTTTGTTGGCCGGCACTTTTGATTTTGGACCAAAAATATATGAAACGTGGATGATGTCCTTTTCTGTTTTTAAACAAAAAAAAACAAAGTTTATTTGGAGCTGGAACTTCCAGTGTATCAGAACTCTACCAAACCGTTTTTGAAATGAAGAAAATAAATAGCATAAGAACACAAATTACCACAACATGGCGGAGTTTAAGCGGCTCGACATTATCCACATCCTTGTGAAATCGTGACAGTCGCACTTCAAGTTGTACTTCATAGTTTAGGTATTTTAGTGCGACCTGAAAATCGTGTTATGTAGAGTCATACATAAATAATACCTAATATTTATAAACAGAGTGATTGTAATAATGACGATCATTTCAGTCTTAGAGGAAAAAATATCGATACAGTAAGCGATAAAAGGCTTCACAAAGTCCTTGCTAATAGCCTTTCCTTATTGCTGAAGGTCACATGAAATGAAACATAAACTACGATTTTTATAGAAATACTAGCTGACCCGGCGAACTCTGTTCCGCCTTTATAAATAAACCATTGCAATTTTTCCTCATTTGCTCACCGATTAGACCTACCCAGGACTAGGTACGACAAACATTTTAAAACCAAAATCAGCTCAATCGGCCCCGCCTTTCTCGAGTTTTAATCAGACTAACGAACAGCAATTAATTTTTATTTATATAGAAAATTAGTAGGCATCATCATCATCATTTCAGCCATAGGACGTCCACTGCTGAACATAGAAATATAATTGTTACTACATTATTAAGCATTTGATAGTAAAAGGGCTATTCTAGTTCAATGGAGTCTTTAGTATCACTGCGACCGGTATCGATCTATGTATTTCGTAGTATGAACAGGAAAGCTATGGTTTTCTACCTGCGTTTCCCAGGCTAACATCAATCCAGACTCATGCAACCGTCCAATAAGCTTGCTGACTTTCTGTGTGTAAGGCGAACTCTTGCGCATCATCACCACACATTGCTCGTAGTAAAAGTCCTCCTGCATCAGCGTCAGACCGAGCATAGCGTCCTTTGTTATGTAATCTCCTACTGCGAAATATCCTGAAAAATACGCCGTTCCAATGACAAAAATCAGTCAAACCCCATACAAAAAACACCGGTTCGTATCGTTATGGTCGCGGTTAAAGTCAGGTGGTGCAACTCAGCCTTACGAACCTGCTGGTAATCGTTCCACCGAAAAAGCCATACTCCTCTGCATACTTTTTATTTTCATATCTTCGGCCGACGACACTCGGAATAGACTTACTAGCTGCTTTACTAATGGCTGAAAATAGTAATAATATCCAATTTCCACATTTTTTATCTAGTTAAATGATTATAATTATTCTTAATTATTATGGATCATAGATCAACTTTTCGCTCACCTCAGGCGACAGAGTCAGTGAAAACACCCAAGCATCATGGGTAGCTCCCCATTCCATCCCTCTGTCTACTATATCCTGGACGGTGTCTATGGACTTTTCATATTTAGGCACAGTAAATACTGAAGCCAGGCCGCCTCCGTATGCATTGTCGAGGACCAACCCAGTCAATAGCATCCAACCGGTGATGCTACGAACACGCCATGTGGCGCCTACATCAGCCTGAGACTAAGAACAATATTAATTTTAGTATTTCTAAAAGATTTTCGGAATCTTGCAAGTATATGTCAAATAATGTGATGCCGAATCGCCTAGCTATGCACTAATGTATTACGTACACCGAAACCTGTTTATGATTACAGGGAGATTAAAGAGTCGTTTTCAGTTCCATTATATTGCTCGTATCTTTATTCGTGGATACTAATTATGTACTATATTTGTATTTTTATAAAAATTTGGACTTTAAGTTATTCATGGGTATTTATTGTGACGACTTAATGGAAAAAATAATGGAATATTAATCAATTTAGGTTGCGCTTCTATTCTGAGATCCTTTATCGCCATTAACCGTTATAGTCGCAGCCTTACGTATTTGTGTGCACTGTACTCACTATATTTGACTTTGATAGTATCGATATTCTATGAACCTATGTTCAAACATTTGTTAATGGAAATTCAATGAAACACAGATTTTGTTAACTTTGAACAATATAAACTGAACTGATTCTAATTTATTATCTACTAGCGGCCGCCCGCGACTTCGTAGGTACTCGTGGATCCCGATTTACCCCCTTAGAGGAAGAGTTTCGTAAAATCCTTTCTTAGCGGATGCCTACGTGGGTGAATATCAACAAACTCGTTTTTTGCCTAATTCCGGTGGCGAATTTTAATTTCCACTTTCCAAAACTTTTTTGTGGCAGAAATAATAGTAAATAACTTGTATTATTCAATGATATGGTAGAGATCAAAATATTATTAATACTTCTCGAGATATGTCAATTTGAAATTATCAAGAGCCACCGAAATTGTATTTGAGCCACCGGAATTAAGAACCAATCCAACGAAATTTATTTATACAGCGGACTTCGGAATGTTACGGATGATTGTCTCAAATTACTTATTTATTTGTAATCAATTAAGTATTATTATCCAGTAAAGATGTTTATAATTAAAAACAATATTCAGGCCTGTGTTGTGACCCTAAAAAAGCATCAAATCTTCCCACGTGAGTCGTAATAGCCGACTAAGGAATCAAAATACTGGAGGGTGGGCTGCAGCATCTTTCCGGGTATTATACTACCATACTGGAACTACCAACCAGCCTGTTAAGCATGGTGATAACGGCAAAATCCCTCCATAGAGAACAAATCCAAAACTTTCTGGCTCTAGCCGCCAACAGCCCCGTTATTCTAGAGTCATCACAAAGACATCATACATGACCCTCNTATTTCTATTTCACTTTCTTCACCCAGGTGAACAAAGTGGAATGACCCCCCAATAGGCTCCCCGCTCAGCATTTATCCTGACATTCTCGTAAGGGCATGTCAAGAAGCTGGTCTTCCTCGGACGCTCTTGCTTTTGGCATCGCACATCCTGTCGAAGAGACATCGACTCGAGTTTGCTATCCCTCAAAAGGGTGCGTAATGCAGGGAATTACCGTGGTACCTATCTTCAGTCATGCATTTTTACAATTAAAGAAACAAAAGATAATACCAAAAGTAATATTACTCAGTTTTGTCACAAAAGCCAAATAAAATAAAAGATGGTTTTCTTTATGCAATGCATACCTCTTAGTAGTGCATTTTACTACTGTTGTTTATAAACGACACCGCTTTTCCGAATTTCCACGAGGGAAATATTTTTTTTCTTATTTTTCCCATGTTATTTGTCAGTTTTTAAGCCTCATATACAAAGATCATTAAATTAGGAGATAGTAAAATGTTTCAGGAGTATCTGGGTTAAAGAGTCGTTTTCAGTTCCATCATATTGCTCGTATCTTTATTCGCGGATACTAATTACAGTAGAACGCCGATTATTTGGGACCGGGGTCGATTCGGATATTAATCGAAAATTTGGATAATCGGACATAGACTGGTAATAGGGAAAAACCAACTGTTACACATAGAATAAACTTTAATTAGTTTGACAAACAGATATATTTCCTACTTGGCGTTATTTAGTTAGTTTGCCTCCTATCACATAAAAAAAAAATTGTAACAATAACGCTCAGTTGAAATATATCCGTATTCCAACAAAAAAAAATCTTGGTTTTAATTTTTTATTTTACGCTTAGGACCGATTCGGATAATTGGCGATTCGGTTAATCGGCGTTCTACTGTACTATATATTTGTATTTTTATAAAAATTTTGACTTTAAGTTATTCATGGGTATTTATTGTGACGACTTTATGGAAAAAATAATGGAATATTAATTAATTTAGATTGCGCTTCTATTCTGAGATCCTTTATCGCCATTAACCGTTATAGTCGCAGCCTTACGTTTTTGTGTGCACTGTACTCACATATTTGACTTTGATAGTATCGATAATAATCGATATTCTATGAACCTATGTTCAAACATTTGTTAATGGAAATTGAATGAAACAAAGATTTTGTTAACTTTGAACAATATAAACTGAACTGATTCTAATTTATTATCTACTAGCGGCCGCCCATGACTTCGTA